CAAAAAAAAAGCGAAATGCGATATGTAAACCCAGGTTACACATAAACTGTAGGAGGTTAGAATTGTATTTTGGTCAGACAGGAATGAATGGCCAGGAAATAGGGGGGTAATTATACTAACGGGCACCAATGGGATAAGAGGGATAGGTAAATAAGAGAGTCCACAACACAGGGTTTGGAAAAGAACAATTAGAATAGAAGTTGTGATGGGGAGGCTGGTTCGGGGACCCTTGAGGTATTCCTTCCCCACAGGGTTGTTTGTCCTTTGTTCTTGAAGAGAATCCATGACATCAGGAAAGTGATGCCACGACTTGCAAGTGAATTGGATTTAAGTGAGGCAGGGCTGTGCAAAGTCAGCAGCCTCACTTTCTCCTTTGGCGTCATCTGGCTGCAGTGGCAAGATATAGATAGGGACGACTGGAGATGCCCCCTCCCAACTTTATAGGAGAAGTGGGGAGGTCCTTAAAGTCAGAGCATGGGGCCCTGAAGTGGGGTACTGAATCTTTACCATGGGTTTTGGAAGCATCTCTTGCTTCTCTTTAGAGGTTTCAAATAGCACAGCAAACCACATCCTTTTTGTCTGCTTCCCCCTCAATCTTTCCACCAGGAGTTTGGCAATACAAGGGCCAAATTTGGACAGTGTTTATTAAGGGTCAGCTGGAGCCCTAGCTATACTCAGAGTCACGCTGCTAGGAGCTATTCTAATGTTCATTTAAGAAGAATCATAACTACAATGAGCTATTGCTGGCCTCCCTCCTATGGCTCATATATTCACATTCCACTCTTGGCTTAGACAACATGGTGTCTATTGACTCTGCTTTTATTCATCCCCGTCTTCTTATTTTATTATGATGATTGTGCTTTGGAACATGAGTCTCCATACATAACTCTAGTTAAATTCTTTCAACACAGTGCATACATTGAAGTGCATACTTTATTCTAAAGCTGAGTTTGTTGAAATTCACATCCATTATCTCCTATCTCTGTCTACCAGGACTACTGCAATATACTCTAACAAGGAAGCGAGAGACAATTTTTTACATGAGTGAACTCTGTAACCTAGCTTACCTTTAAAAATGACATGATAGAAGTTGGGAGTTCTGGGAAAGAACCAGGAACTCCTAAAGACAACTTTTTCATTTGAATGCTAATTGAAGCGCTCATCACCTCCCCTTGAATTGGTGGCCCCCAAATTCAAAAGTCTCATTTCTTAGGATCCTATTGTATTTATAAGTGAGTCCCTAAGGATGCAAATAATTAGCAGGGACCAGTGTGATTTCACCTGGATACATAGCACTGAATCTCTGAACTGGCACCAGAAATAACTCTGCCACAGGGGGGTTAGGAATGGTTTCAGCATGTGAGAGAACAAACAGGAGTGTGTGTGTGTGTGTGTGTGTGTGTGTGTGTGTGTGTGTGTGTGTGTGTGTATGAGAGAGAGAGAGACTATCTGGAAAGCTGGGAATCAGGAGTAGGAGCTGGAAGATGAAGGAGAAGGGTTGGTAGGTATTACTTTTGTGGTTGTTCATTCATTTTCAGTCATGTCCCTCTCTTTCTGATCCCATTTTGGGCTTTTCTTGGTAAAGACACAGAAGTGATTTGCCGTTTCCTTCTGCAACTCATTTTACAGATAAGAAAACTCAGGCAAACAGGGTTAAGTGACTTTCCCAGGGTCATACAGTGTCTGAGGCCAGATTTAAATTTAAGAAGATGACTCTTCCTGAATCCAAGCCTATCCTTCTAACCATTGCACCACCTAGCTGCCCATGGGTACTACTTAGTGGGACTCAAAATGGAGCTAGGAACAAGACCAGTAAACAGCATTATGAAACAAGGTGAGGGACAGTTTTTCAGCCACAGCAACTTAAAAATGGATACAGTCAAGGAAACAAAAGAGTCAGAGATCTGGAGGTCAAGATTGCCATCGAGTAGAAGGTGTTATCCTGAATAGAGAGCTGGCTGTGAATTAAGACAGAGGGAAAAGATGAGGGGGTGCCAGGAGAATGGCCAAAGCCATTTTGTACGTATACTATGTGTAATTGGTTTGGAGCAATTTCATCGGGGTGATTTCCTAAACAGGAGCGATCTCAGGCTCAGCTGCTCTTCAGCTGAGAGTCTCAGAGAGTTGCCTCAGCCCCTCAGAGGCTGATTGACTTGCCCAAGGTCACACAGCCATGATACACCAGACATGGCATTTGAATGTGTGTCTTCCTGACTCTAACCCAGAGTTTGTTTTTTTCTTCCTCCCATTATATTTGCTCTCTCAACATTCATGTGTATAGAAGTTCCATAAGAGATCAGACTTCATGCTAATGACCTGAAACAGGTGAGAAGTCAGGAATCTGAGAGGGATTATTATTTTCTTTTATAGTAAAAACCAATTATTAAATTAAGATTGAGGTTTTTCCTTTCTATTTCCTCATTCAGGGTCCAGCCCTTGCAGGTCAGTCAGTCGGTCAGTCTCTGAAGGACATTGCTAATAGATGAGATTACCCATATGCACTGAGATCTTGGGCAGGACCCCACCCAGCTAGAAGATGTTAACAAACAGAATCTAATCTAGGAGATTTATTGCCCTTAGGAAATAAATCTGCTCCTTGGAACCCTTCTAGAATTTAGGGTGACCCAGCTTATGCAGGAGAAAACCAATCAGAGTGGTCTGGGTAGAGATGGATTCCTTTGTCCAGATTGTTGGAGGGAGCTGAGTCCCATAATCAAGTCATGTTCTCAGCAGGAGGAACTAAAGACTTTTCACCCACCTCCTCATTAATATGTCTACCACCTTATTAATTGTTCACCAATCAGGGTTGATTTTCACCTGTCAGGGACACCTCCCTTTCCAAAGATATTTAAGCATTCAGGCATCTCTGTGGTGTTGTCTGGAGAGAGACCACTGACCATCAACCTATTGATTATTTGCTAGCCTAAACAATAAATTGATTATTAATTACCCAGAAACTCTATCTCTTGGGCTTTTCATTCATCTCAAATCAAAGAAATACAGGTGACTAGTCAAGTGCATTATGTGTGGACAGAATACTGGACTTGGAAGCAAGAGAGCTTGACTTCCACTTCTGGGTTTGAATTCTGCCTCTGATAATTTCTAACTGGGACATGGATTAGTCACCCTCTCTGACACTCTGATTTCCCATCTATAAAATGATGAAGATAACCTGTAGTACCTACATCATGAGGTTATTGTGGGGCTCAACTGAGACTATATATAATGCTTTGTAAACATTAAACTGGGCAGGTTAGTAGCATAGTAAATTGCATGCCAGGTCTGGAGTCAAGAAAACTCCTTTTCCTGAGTTCAAATCTGGCCTTGGACACTTATTAGCTGTGTGACCCTCGACAAGTCACTTAACCTTGTTTGCCTCAGTTTTCTCATCTGTAAAAGGAGCTGGAGAAGGAAATGGCAAACCATGCCAGTATTTTTGCAAAAAGAAAAAAAACTTCAAATGGGGTCACAAAGAATTGGATATGCCTGAAAAACAACTCAACAACAACAACAACAAGAAAAACTGTTAAACTAAAACATAAATATCTATGCAGTAAGGTTTCCAAGAACTGATACAAATGGAATGTGGGGAGACAGGAGAATAAGGTAGAATGAATGTTGGGTCTGGAGGCACAGGATTTGGATTACTACCTTTGTGACTTTAGGAGAATGACTATATCTAGGGGTATGCTGGTAAATATTTAATGATAGACTCAAAAAAATCAACACAAGATACATTTTCAAGTTTAACCTAAATTATTATCATTTCTCAATTATACTCTAAAGTCTAGGCAATCAACAACACAGTAGAGCAGGACCTGATATGTAACATTTGCCATTTTTGGAGATATAAATACTCACACTGAAAATTTAAGGGCTCTCACAAGCCAAGCTGGCTTCAACTCACCTTTGACGACACTCCTGTGGACCTTAGTTTCACTCATTTGTAAAATGAGGATGTTGACTTCTAAGGTCCGTTCCTTCTCATACAGCTATGATCATCTTTGTTACCTCCAAGAATAATGATTATGTTGGGGAAGGGAAGAGGGGACAGGGACTGGATTTGTGACTTCATTGGTATGGGGGGGGAAGGGAAGGGAATAATCATTTATAAAGCACCTACTACATTCTAGGCACTGTGCTAAGCCCTTTACAAATATCTTATTCGACTGTTTACAGCAACCCTACAAGGTAAGTGCTGTCATTATCCCCATTTTACAGTCATGGAAACAATGGTTACATGGGATTACATGGATAGAAAGTGCCTGAGGCTGGATTTGAACTCAGATCTTCCTGACTCCAGGCCCAGCACTACCTGGTTGCCTAGAGAATTCTCATGTTAAAAAATTCTCTCTACCAACACCTATTGGCACCTTCTATTCAACTTATAGTCTTAGAGTTGCCTAGAGTACTCAAGAAGGTAAGTGACATGGCCAGGATCACACATCTTATATGTACCAGAAGCAATATTTGAACCCTTCCTGACATTTATATAATACTGACTATGGTCCAGGTACTTTTCAAATATTATCTCATTAGATCCTTATAACAATCCCTAGGAGGTAGGTGCTATTATTATTTCCATTTTACAGTTGAGGAACCCAAGGTAGACAGCAGTTAACTGACTTGCCCAGGGTCATACTGCTAGTAAGTGTCTGGGGCAGTATTTGAACTCAGGTCTTCCTGACTTCAGGGTCAGCACTCTATCCACCACACAATCTAGCTCCTTCTTTATTGATTGACTAGTTGATTGATTGATTTTCTCCTTACAACAATCCGGGGAAGTAGTTGCTCCCACTATCCATCCCCATCTTACAGATGAGGAATCTAAGGCAAGTAGAGATCAAGTGACTTGCCCTGGGCTTATAGCACACTGCCTCCAATGAAACAGGAGGGCATTATAAACCCTAAAATCTCCACGATAGCTTAATGATACTGAATTGAAATGTCAAAACACAAAAACAAGCCTAACAAACAGTGTGCTTTCTTGCATTTTGCAGAATCAGGAGGAAGACTTACAAAGACATGGAACCCATCATCACAGGGAGGAAGAAAGTAGAGTGAGAAGCCTGCTACCCATACCTATGAACAATCTCACAGTAATTTGTATTGATTGGACTTTAAGATTTTTCAAGTAATATGCTGCCTTTGCAGGACGAAGAGATGTTAATGGTAAGAAGGCTATTTATTCAACATACTGCATAGAGGAGCTGCAAAGACAATGGCTTCAAAGGTCTCATGTCTCTATGTTTTGACAGTTGTGTGCTGGGCTAGCGCTCTTTGGTACCTAAGTATAACTCGTCCTACTTCTTCCTACTCCGGCTCTCGGCCATTTACTAACGTTGCTGCAGCCAGGAAGAACGTTACCTTTGGTAATATAAGAACTCGACCTATAAACCCTCATGCATTTGAGTTTCTCATAAATGAGCCCAAGAAATGTGAGAAAAGCACCCCCTTCCTTGTCATCCTCATTAGTACCACACACAAGGAATTTGATGCCCGACAGGCTATCCGAGAGACGTGGGGAGATGAAAACAACTTTAAGGGGATCAAAATCGCCACTCTCTTTCTCCTAGGGAAGAATGCTGATCCTGTTCTAAATCAGATGGTGGAACAAGAAAGCCAAATCTTCCATGACATCATCGTAGAGGACTTCATTGACTCGTACCACAACCTCACCCTCAAAACGTTAATGGGGATGAGATGGGTTGCCACTTTCTGCTCAAAAGCCAAGTACGTCATGAAAACAGACAGTGACATTTTTGTAAACATGGATAATCTCATCTATAAACTACTAAAACCCAACACTAAACCAAGGAGAAGATACTTCACTGGCTATGTCATTAATGGAGGACCAATCCGGGATGTCCGCAGTAAGTGGTACATGCCCAGAGATTTGTACCCAGATAGCAATTACCCACCATTCTGCTCCGGGACTGGCTATATCTTTTCAGCCGATGTGGCAGAACTCATTTATAAGACCTCACTCCACACAAGACTGCTTCACCTTGAAGATGTGTATGTGGGACTGTGTCTTCGGAAGCTGGGCATTCACCCTTTCCAAAACAGTGGCTTTAATCACTGGAAAATGGCCTACAGCTTGTGTAGATATCGCCGAGTCATTACTGTGCATCAGATCACACCAGAAGAAATGCATAGAATCTGGAATGACATGTCAAGCAAGAAACATCTCCGGTGTTAAGATTTTTACAGGTGTAAATATCTTTTATTTTCTTTTTTTTCCTTCTTTCTTTCTTCCTGCCTTCCTTCCTTCCTCCCTTCCTTCCTCTATCATTTCCTTCCTTCCTTTCTTCTTTTTAATTTGGGAGGCTATATTGTTGGTAGTTTACACATGTTACTATGGGAAATGAATCGTGAAGGAGTTTGCAAAAAGTATTTCCCCCCATCCCCTCATGTCTTAGTTTCTTTGATCATCAGTTTACAAATGTCACATTCTCATTACACAGATGTTACACAAGTTGAAAGTGCCAGATGCCAATCTCAGGGCATAGGGCATTGCCATTTATTCTCAAAAAGCAGCTCCCAACCTGTGCCCCCAAAAGGAGAAACTGGCTGAATGCTACCCAGCTACAGCAACTATGCTTCTGAGGTAGAAATCTGGTTCTGAGAGAAGGAAAGTCACCTCACAATAATGCCTTCATCTCATCCCTTCAAAGCGAAAATAACTTTGTTTAGAAACCTGTTTAGAAATAGACAGAGTCAAGACACATGAGAGGGAGTATTTCTGCTGTGTGTGATATTTACATTGGGTTTTTTTTCCCATATATTGGCATGCAAAATGTGTTATATGTACAATTCCACCCCCAAAAAAGAACTTAGTTCTGGCAGGAAGACAGGCATTGGATGAGTGGGAATTTGAACTTGAGAATCAGATGTTCTAGAAGTTCAGGAAACAACTTTATTGCTCATCCAAGGATTAAACACATGGTGGGCAGCAGGTGGAATGTATATAGAATGCTATTTAACAAAATAAATAGGAGATTTATTCTCAGTTCTTTCAGAACAAATATAAAATTGTGCCTCCAAGGAAAATTGCCAAATGTAACTTTACCTGCTTCAACCCAGTATGCAATGTCACTGAGTACACTTGGAATGTTAGGGTCATCTGGGCACACGGTTCCAAAGAAAGAAAATAAGCAAAGCTAATATGCGGCCAAGAAGAGTGCTACATCACAGTGCAAAGATGGCAGATTCCAAAAGCATGAAAAGAATTAGAGCCCTAGGAATTAGGCAAAGGGCACCAAATCTGGCTGGCACACCAAGTGTGTGCAATGCATACTTTAGTACAGTTGAATGTCAGCAAGGTTCCCAGTATTACATGCAATTGCAATAGCATTGAGGTCTTCTCAGGGGCAGAGTTTCAAGAGATTTGCAGCCAAGGGAGGGAAGCTTAGGTTCCATTCCTTTCTCTTCCACAAGACTCCCAGTGTCAAAGGAGAAAATGATGGAAACCTCAGTGTGCCTCAATTTACTCATTTGCAAAGTGGCAATTATTAAAAAAAAAAAAACCTACCTCCCGGATGCTGTGAATTTTAATTCATGTTTGCCAAGTACCTTGAAATCCTCAGCTGAAAGGTGCTATGTATGTGCAAAGTATTATTATTGTATTATTATTATTATTATTGCTATAATATCAGTAACCAGTGAGTAATGGTGAGAGGCAGTGGAGGCATGGTATCTAAAGGGCTAGCCCTAAAGTTAGGAAGACCTGGGTTCCTGTCCCACCTCTAACACTGTGGGTAAATCACTCAACCCCTCAATGCCCCAGGCATTCTAACTCTACAGTGTCTGATTTGTGTTGGTGAAGAGAGTTTCTATCTGAGAGCTTCTTACACAGATTAAAATCATGGGTCCAGTTTCCACCTCTCCCTCCCCTCTGAAAAAGCAAACTAGTAATTATTACTAGTAATATACCACATATGTTAATATAAAATTCACCACAATTAATCTGGAATAAATCACTAAAACTTTTCTTTCTCTCTAGTCTAATTTAGATCAGGAGTTCTTAACCTAGAGTCCATGAACATTTTTTAATGATTTGTTAACTATTTCCATATAATTGGTTTCCTTTGTGTTCTTATATACTTTATTTTATGTCTTTAGTAACACTCTCATGAGAAGGGGTCCTCTTAAGCACACTGACAAAGGGGTCCACAAAGCACTTTTGGGAAGCTTCAACTATTTATGCTTCCTCTGGAATCACTTGATGAATTATTACTTCCATGCATTGAATGCTACCCCTCTGCGCTGAAGCATAATGTGTCTTCCAAAGGTTGGGGGCGTAAGGTATATTTTGTGTCAGAAGCTTCTGGTTTTTTTGGATGTTGGAATAAGCTGAGTTGCTTGGAGAAATGTGCAACTTGAAATCTCTCCAGTAGTTTGAATTATGGCCTCTCTGGGATTCAGAAGATGGGAAAAATTAATTCACTTTACCACTCATCTTTCCAGAAGGAAGAATAAACACAGCAAAATTAATAGCAAACCAAACATTGATGATAACACAGCATCCATTTGGAAAGTTTACCATACTTAGTGAGGAAAAACCCCACGACATGAAGACAGTACCTTGTTTTTGTTGTACCTGTTTTGATTTGCTGAATTGTTTTGGTCCTTAAAAAGTAGTCCTCTGGAAAGTTCTTTACATCTCATATTCCCAGAAATGTAAGACCTAGTTAGTCACTCCTTCTCTTAATAAATACACACATACACATATACAAACATATATATGTATATAGGTGTATGTATATAAACACACACATATATATATGTGTGTGTGTGTATGGATATATATATATATATATACACATCCACTTACATACATATGTGTATATGTGTGTATATATAAGCATATATATGTATGTGTAAATACACATATATACATACATACACACATATATAGTCAGCTTATTTCAACTTGGACAATACAAGAAAAATATTAGAAAAGTTGAGGAGAAATTGGGCCCCACAAGATCAGTCAGCTCCCCTGTCCAGTAATTATTGCCAGTTCTCAAATTCAATGATTTCTTCCTGGTGATTCAAAACATTATCTATTCAATTGTTAAGCAACTGGACTGGGCCTTTGCCCAAATCATTTTGCTCTGCACCTGTCTCATGTCCAGCCAACAACTCTTAATACCAAGAAATTACACATTATGAGCATGATATATATATTTATATGTATATGTTATAAATATATACATATTATGAATAGACCTCCCTAGTCTAAAATAAAACAAAATAAAACAAAAGCAGTGGTCATTATTAATTTGGAAATTCCTTTAAATTTCCTGATTTTTTAAAAGTGGTCTCTAGTGCACAGAGGACAAACATGTAAATATCCATCAAAGATCATGTGTATATATTTTAAAGGAATCATCTCTCTTCAACTGTACATATAGAGGTAGAAGCCTGCCTGCTGGGTAACATTCGGCTCTGCATGGGGCTTATTTGAGCAATGCTCTTTGCCCCGTGATTCTGTAGCCTTAATTAAAGCATGTTTGCCCTCCATTTTTGAATGTTTGGAATTTTTTTTCATGTTAGGTGATCACGGAAAGCCTCTGGCTTCCTCCTTCCGTTAGTTTTCTGATTCTGGCCAAAACAAGACTCTAATCACTTGGGCAACCATTAGACAGATTTTTGTGTCCTTTCTCTGATTTAAGGGGCAACGGACAGAGATCTGGCCTCAGAGTCAGGAACATGAGGGTTCAAGGCCTGCCTTTGACACACACTGGCCTGTCTCAGTGTCCAAGGCAACACGAAGACTTTATGTTTCAGTAAAAGTTCTGACCTGCATTAGTAGCAGGCCTTTCTTCACCAAGGGGTTCCCTCTACCAATACACTCACAGATCCAGCCCCTGCCCCTCATCCTATCCCGTCTCTATACCATTCTTATTCCCACCCCATCCTTATCCCTATTCCCAAACCTTTTCTGGGATTTAAAACATTATTGCAGGCAGCAGCCTCCATGGGGGTCATGCAGTCAGTTTATGTCTGATAACCTGCTTCTCATACCTCCCATCTGCAGTGTTACTTTAGCACAGGATGATGTTAAGTATCCAAGCTCATTGTCTTCATTCGTAATGTTCCTTTTTCAAACGAGCCTTTCAGTTTTCTTTAGGTGTAAGATTGCAAGGTTTTCTGGTTTTTTCCTATAACATGGCAAATGCCAATTTGAATAGGACACTGGAGCTGTTGAAATCACTGGAGTCAGAGTAGGAGGAAGCTCCTGTTTACTTTGGATGGAATTTCAACCAACCTAGCCTATTGAATGGACGCATTATGGGGGTGGGGAGTGGGGATGAAAGGAAGCACCCCTTTGCAGAGGGGTGAGGGGAGGACTTTTTCAATAAAACTTTTCCTATCAAAGGACAATGGAATATTTAACCCAAAGCACCTGGGATTGATTTTCTATCTTTCATAATATGTGATTTCAGTGGGGGAATTAATTCAAATTTCTGCTGTAAAGGGGGAAATGGTTTTTATAAACAAAAAGCAACTTGTGAATGAAAGAAGCAATTTACTAGAGAAGCTTGTTAATAAAAATTGACATTTAGGTGTATCATTATATATGAATGGATGTATTTATGTATTTATTTGTCAAAATTGTATATATTGTTTCATCAAAAGTAAGTGTCCGTAAAAGTGCACTCTTTGGGTTTAAAGTATTATTTAGGTTTATGTGGGGTTGCTAGTTGAGCTGCTAATCAGAATACTATTTTTTGTATTAATGTCAGAAAACAAACAAAAAAAAAGACAAATGGAAACTGAAGGTGTGTGTACAGTTGGTTTCTTCACCTTCTTGAAATGTAAACTCTGTTGACTGGAAAGCACGATGCTAATGTATAGGCCCATCTGTCATGAGGAAGATTATTGTTCCATAAAAGCTGATTTTTTAACCATTGGGAAAAATAAACAGAAGGAGAACATATTTTTCACTTTATCTGCTTCTTTTCTGAGTCTCCTCTATGAAATACCAGCACTTTCCAGCGTTAAAATAAACAAATATTCTACAATTTACCATTGACCTCACCCGACAACCAACCTCAATATGTCTAATAGCTCAGAAGCCAAAAGACACCACCACATTGTTCATTGCTCCTGAAAATTTCAATATGACCTCAGCGCATTCAGGGAAAATTAACTTCAAGAGCATTTGGTCTAGTGAACCAAATGTTGGTCTATAGTAGACCGAAAACCTGAGTCTTTTTTTCCCAGCCCTCTTTGGCCTTTGATGGCTGCAGTACCTCTCCACGGCTAGAAATGGAAAAAATATTTTTTTCTATTCTCCTTAGAAAATATCAAGTTCATCTTAGATGAACTTGGGGTGTCTAACTAGGGACACAGTTCAGGTGAAGTTGGCCCTTCTTGTGTTTCATTTACCTGACATCTTTGTAATGCCGCACTGTGATTAGATATTTGCATAGACATTTGTAATTGTGGTCAGGAAAGTGCTGGTGCCTTTCTTTCTGGCAGAGAGTTGATAGCTACTTAAGAGAAAGGGCCTCTGTCCCTGCTCTATGGGTCATTGCTGGGTGCCCTTGTTTCTTTTTAGAAATGGAGCTATGAGTCCTAACCACCTCTACACCAGGAAAAGATATTCAAGGCACAAAGATTTCCCCACAAATACCTTTTGGAAACACCATGATCATTTTAAAATTTCATCATTTGAACTTCTTTAAAAAGGACTGTCAGCTGAGGAAATGGGGAAATACCCTGAATAGCATCAATAAGCATACTGGTATCATCTCTAAGTTGCCAGGGAAAAGACAACGTAAAAATCAAAATGAATTATATTTAAAAAAAAAAACTGACAGCTGCATACATTTTAGAGATATTGCATTTTCCTCTCAGAGAATACTTTTTTTAAAAAAATGATAAAAGTCTGATTCTAATTGTAACAATTACCCGGGGCTTAATTAATATATTGCTTAAAGATGTGTGGGTATTAGAATGGGGAGGGTGGGTTTCATATAGCTTGATTATCATAATTACAAGCATTCTATTTTCTCATTTACTTAATTGATTGTCATAGATTTCCAGATGAATTCACATTGCTGGAAGAGAAGTGAATATATTTCTGGAGCAGGAAAAAAAAAAAAGAACCTGGGCTATTTAGAAAAGCAGTGTGTCCCAGAATGTAATCCATGTGAGCATGAAAAATTGCCCTGGATAATATTTGCTTACCTCTCTCTTGGTTAAAATGGGTATTTTGTGTGTGTGTGAAATGAAAAAGAAATGAATGAAAAAGTTTTATTGATTCGGCTACATCTATAATGACATTGGCTCTACTGTCTCTGTGGCTAAAGGTGCCTAGGACATGAGAAAAATCTTCCATTTAGTTTTCCTCATAGAATCTATTAGTTTGGTACATATGCCAGCTATCTGTTATGCCTTTTGCAATGACTTCAGCCCTCACCTGGAGGGACCATGGCAGGAGAGGTGATTTATTCTCTCTGTGAAGTTTATTCCAGAGCATTTACTCAGTAGAAGCTGCCTTCTATGTCAAGTTGGGCAGAGTTACGTGTGCTGGTTGTGTGATGAAGATTAGTTTTCAGAGGGATGACGATGACATCATCAAATAAGAGCTGGGCTAAAGGAGATCAAAAACCATCACCCAGGTCTTTCAAAGACTTGGATTTCCAGCTTTAAGATGGGAAAATCTTGAAGATGTTCATCTTTTGCTGTAGTCATCACATTATACTTGCGATTTTGAGACAATGGTTCTGATGAGTCCATTATGTCAATGTCACAGGAAAGCAGGAGGAAACAAACACTCTTTAAAAAAAAAAGAGGAAGAAAAACATGGTACATGAATGTTACATGAATAATTAAGAATAAATATTAAGGCAACAGGAAGATAATGCAGCTGAAAGATAACAGGAATTTAGAAACAAACTGCCATTGATTTGATAACTTCTAAGCTTTATGAATACATATAAATGAGACAAAGCAAGTCAGAAATCTATAACCCCTCTCACTCACTCAGCATCTAGTGCAGGTCACTAGAAACTTTAATAAAGTTTGGCTAGCTCAGAGC